CCTTCCCTTCCCTTCCCCTCCCTCCCCCCCTCCCTCCCTCCCATGCGCAAGAATACCAAGCCACCTAGTTTGAAGCACACGACGTACTCGAAGTCGCTCTTGCCTTTGCCAACTCTCTGCAGAAGCTGCTCTTACACGCAACAGATGCAGCAGCAGCAGCAGCAGCAGCAGCAGTGGCAGCAGCAACGGTCTCAGGACAACTTTCCGTCCGGACATCTGCCGACAAGCCCTAGACTCTGACGCATGTTCCATGAGCTCGCTGCTAAAGAGGCTTGAATTCCACTCCCCGCGCTCACAACTCCGAGTTGCGAATCTCTCCCACCTCTCCGGGTTCCATCGCATCCCAGGCAGCTGCTAGAGACCCGAAGCGGTCCAGAAGATACCTTCGCCAGTTCTCGATCACCGAGCTGCTCAGTAGATGCTGGCTTAAGAAATCTACACCGTCTTTGCTCAGAAGCCTCAATGCTCAGAAAGACAAGACCCTCCGAAGATCTGTGAGATTCTGCAACCACGGGTACTTCAAGAACTTGGTAGTGCTGTTCTCATTATCGGAAGCCAGTCTCATGGCATAGCAACCCACTGTCTCCTGTGCACTGGCAATGGCCGCCGTCGTTGCAGGTGCCTCCACCCTTGCGCCCTTCTTGCCGGGAGTTTCCGGCCTGGGCTGGGCCTGTACCGGATCCGCGGAGGACCTCGCCGAGTTGCCTTGCACCTTTTCTGTCGCCTTGGCGATGGCCAGCGCCGTGGCCGTGAACGGTGTCCTGAGCGCACAGGGTCCAAGCCGTCTGGAACCCAATTCCTGTGGCAGCCAAGGAGCTCGGAGACTCGGTGCTCCATCTTTTGTTGCCCGCTTTTCTCGGCAAGCTTGTCCGCCATCTTCCGATATTCAACTGCCGCAGATGGGTCTCGGTTGATCCAGCCCACATGCAGTGTGCCGGCTTTCTCCTTCTTGTCACGCTTCGCATCCTCCCATTTCTGGAGGAAATGCAGGTCACTCTTCCGGAGGAAAAGGGTCCCAGGCCGCGATCGCAGCCAGTTGAAAAGCTCTTCGGCTACAGCTGGCTCATATCCTAGGTCCCTGACCGCTTCAATGAAGTTCTCCAGGGTCACGACACCAGATCTGCTCGTATCGAGAAGCTGCTCAAACGCTGCATTGATTGAGCCGTAGCCTTGTCTGTGACAATCCCGCTTAACAAACGGATCAACTGTATGCGACAAACATCGACACACCAAAGGTAGAACTTGCAAGTCTCCCAGATCCCTTCTCTATGCTTAAGCAAACCATATCTACACGCTTGCAAGGCTGATCAAGGCAGGGATCGACTTGTGCACAAGTAACGAAACTTGTCGAGGGCGTGTGCGGCAATTGGATCCAAGTCGTAAAGGCTCAGCGTGCCACTTTGATCCACGTCCAGATTGAACCAAAGGCTGCGTGCATTCTGGCCCGACCCTGAACCCATTTGACGCACTGCGCTTACGAACTCACAGAACTCCAGCTCGCTGCCCCCATCTTTGTCCAGAGCCACCCGCCACGCCCGAACGACGCTGCCACACTTGCGACGCAGAAGCTTCAGGAAATCCTGTACATCCAGAGGGTAGCGCTGATCTCCAGCCCGCGCATACGCGTCAGATATCTTCTCCTCCTTGCCATCGCCCTGCCACGCATGACGCGCCGCACGCTGTGCCAACTTCGGCCCGGTGATGTACCACATTCATGGCATGGCTCGTAGGGTAGGAGGGCCAGCTATGCGTAGCACAAATATTTTTGACTGCTACCTCTTCTCTTCGGTGCCACAGGTCTAAGTCCTGAACAACGCATCATTGAGTCTGCGCATGGAGTAGAGCTAAAAGATCATCGCTCTGAAATTTCGTGCCTGGAAGTGAAGCAGACTGTTGGTGACGACCCGTCTTACGTCGGTTTACAAAATGTCACGGTTGGAGGCCTGCGTGGCCCTTTCCATAGCCAGCAGCAATCTGGCATTTAACTTAGGGGTGGGGCCCAGATTTCGTCTGTGGACAAGCAAGGCAACTGCGTCTGCATCTCGTGCACTGTGACATATTGTAACGCGTACACTTGCACACTTACCTTGTCTGTGACGAGATGGGACGAGCGAGGAAAGCAACAAATCCTCTTTTTGTCTCTGCGGTCCGCTCCAGACTACACAGAGCTTTCTGGGCAGCGCTGTGCTCAGCCTTTTGCTTTGTTTGCTGCGCCTCGCCCTCGAAGGCTTCCTGGTGGCAGTTGCTCGGAACATGCCGATTACTCACACACCAGGCATCATCACATGAACAAATAGATGAGCCAGGGCTCCGAAAACATCGGCATCAAGGTTTGCAGCTCCTCCTTGAGTCTAACCTCGGATGGTCCGAGAACCCACAGTGTGCATTGGACCTCGCTGCACCTGCTGCACGGTGCCTCAGCCGAGAAAAGCCGCCCCACAACGCGGACACTGTACAGAATGTCGCCACGCTTCAGCACCTGTACCGGAGAAGCTTTAGCTGACCGCCGGCCTCTATCTGAGAAGGCAGATCCCCAAACACTCCACACATCACTTCTCATGCACTTCCTGATGGCTTCAACAGACCGCGAGGTCCCTTTGACGGCCTGCTTTGTCGTCTTCTGCACCAGCTCCTGGAGGCGGCCTTTTGCGTTATCGGCCCTCGTCTTGGCTCCTGGCAAGATTCTGTGCCACCATGCTGCGAGTCGCCGATTGACATCCGCGTAGTGAGTGCTGCTGTCTACAGTCACCTCTGAGCACCTGCTATCTCTCTCGCTCTCCATCTTTCTTTCTTTCTTTCGCCAGGGTTAGGGGCCAGAGGGTTTCCCCCCTAGCCCATCTCTCTCTCTCTCTGCCGGGCATGGGGGCCTGTCTCAGGTCCTCGGCACCATGCCCACCCGATGCTTTATCGAGTAAAGGGGAGTGAGTAGCGAATGTAGATCGTCAGAGGCCAAAGCCATAAAGTCTAAGATAGCGAAAGACTGATGATCGTACACTCTCTCGAAATGCAGGCAGGGAAGGCGTCAACTGTACCTTTAAGTGCCAGGAAGAACCTCGCTTTCGCTCTCTTCTTCTGCACCTCTCTCTGTCTCTCTCTACCTCTCTCTCTCTTCTTCACCGCAGACAAAGAAGACAAGACGGGCAACCAAGCTCCTGTGAGGAATGAGCAGGCTCAAACCAAAAAAACAGCTCTGCACTCTCGTTTGCCGCGAGATGGGGCTTCGATTCGGTGTTTGCATCTTGTCCTGGAAGTGCTGCAGTTTAAGATGCACAAAACTGCAATTTGTTGGAATTGCCTGTTTCTACTTGTGGACTCAGGGATCGATCAGAGGACCTCGGGTGTAGCGCATGTCCTGGTCCAGGTCCATGCAGGCAGAAGCCAGTCATGGTATCACCGGCGTTTAAGATTTTTGACGAACCGGAATCGCCAAACGACGGGGCGGGTTTAACAAATGATCAACCGGGATCGCTTACGAGGCGGGACATGTGTAAGATATGCGATGAACCGGAATCGCCAAATCAGGGGGAGTGTTTAAAACATGAAATGCACCAGAATCGCCATATGAGGGGGCGTGTTTGAGATACGTGCTGAACCGGAATCGCCGAAAGCGGGGCGGGTTTAAGAGATGTGTTTAACCTGGATCGCCGAATGAGCAGGCGGCGTTAAGAAATGTGAACAACCGGGATAGCTTAATGAAGGGGGATGTTTAAGATGAGGGGGTGAGTTAAAGATATGTGATGAACCGGGATCGCCAAATGAGGGGGCGTGCTCATTATATATGATGGGCCAAGATCGCTAATCAGGGGGTGTGTTTAAGATATGATGAACCGAAATCGCCAAACAAGGGGCTTGTTTAAGATAGTTAAGGAACCGGAATCACCAAATGAGGAAATGAGGGAGCTTGTGTGTGTGTGTAAATATTTTCTTCTAAATGATGATGTCCCGGAATAGCCAAATCGCGTGGTGTCTAAAACATATGATGAACCAGAATCGCCAAATGAGGGAGCGTGTTTAGGATATATGATGAACCGGAATCGCCACATGCGGGGGCGTCTTCAAGATATATCATAAACCGGAATCGCCAAATGAGAGGGCGCGCGTAAGATATACGATGAACCGGAATCGCGAAACGAGGGGGCGGGTTTGACAAAGGTGATCATGCGGGATCGCTTGTGAGGGGGGACATGTGTAAGACAGTGTAAGACATGTGATGAACCGGAATCGCCAAATCAGGGGGCGCGTTTAAGCCATAGGCTGGACCAGAATCGCCATATGAGGGGCGTGATGAACCGGAATCGCCGAATGAGGGGGCGTGTTTAAAATATATTAGGATGAACCGGAATCGTCGCATGAGGGGGCGGGTTTAAGATATATGGAAATTGAAGAAGTAGATTTCCTGTTACAGCTAGGACCGGCTCCGGTTGCAGACCGTATTCCTTCCCTGTAACGTCTGCGGTCCGGTTCCCGGTTATACGCCGCCGGGGTCTCCGGGCGACCGTCCTCTGTTTCGACTCTCTCTTCCCTGATCTGTGGTTCTTTCGAGGAGCGCAGTCTCCGATGAAGAAAAATGTGTTTTTCTGTTTCTGTTTCAGACTTAAGGAAGTTGTCCTGCTTTGCGTGTGGAAATAGAAGGTCTTTTATCAAGCCGAAGGAGACGGAAGAAGGACAAACGGGGCCAGACGTATATTTTGGATGAGCTCTCTGATATATGCTATGTGCATTGTACATATATATATATATATAAATATAAATATAAATATAAATATATATATAGATATGTACATATATGCACGTATAAATATAAACCAGGTAGATATCAAGCCATGCTTCTTTCACGGGGATACTATGTGACTCCCACGCAAAACTCAATACCTTGAGGATAGCGTGAAGCCATACACACCTTGCCCTTTGCTGCGCCAGTGGTCTCCTGCAGAATGGCTCTTCCGATTTTTCACGGCGTCTGCTTCCACTGATTCTGCATCCTCCGTGTCTTCCGAGGCTTCCTTGCATTTGTTGCTTCCCCGCTGCGCATGTTGAGTCTCCGTCGTGATTGGGACGACACGTAACCTCCCACGCCTCGTGTCATGATGAGAGATCCTCACACGGATGCGGTCACCAATCCGACAAGCGAACGGAACTGCGTCCAGCATCATTGCCCCCAACTCGGATCCAATGTCCAGGAAGATGTAGCCATGCTGAATGCAATACACTTCTCCCGTGTACACCTTGGAAGCGTCAAGCTGGAGGTCTGCCAAAATCTTGCTCGAAGGCACCTTGCGAACTGGCGACGGTATTAAGGAGAGGGTCAAGGAAGCCGTCGCGGAGTTGCGGCGATGTATGTACACATGGGCCATGTCTCCTACCTCCAGCTTCGTGTAGGTTTCCGGCGGGGCGTGTGTTCGGGTGAGCAGCCCCCGCGTGTCGGCCCCGAGGTCCATCGTGCAGTCCCGCCCATGGACCGACACTACTCGCGCAAGGTACGGGGTTTGCCCGTCTGCAGCGAGGTCCCAGACTGAGCAGATTGGCACGTCACGCTTCTTCAAGGACAAATAGACCCTGCCATTCCCCAAATCCTTGCAGATTGGATATACGGTGACGACATCACCGGCCTGCAGACACGACTGCTTCTCTATCAGAGCTGGGTCATCGTAGTCCTCGTCCAACATCCCAACAACAGAACAACCAAAGTCCACGAAAATTCCAAACTCATTCACGGTGCGGACTATGCCACGGTAGGGACTGCGACCGTCGCAGCAGACGTCCTGGAGCTCTTCCAGCGGCTTGGCCCTGCGTTCAAGAGAGAGGGACACCCTTCCAGTGTTCATCCGCTTTTGAACTGCGTACACAGTCAACTCTTGGCCGATTCTCACGCTGTCGCTCGCCGAGTTCTTCGGCACCTGCGGGTTGGGCAAGAAGCAGAGCGAGTCATAGCCGATGTCGACCAATGCTCCATACTCAAACGTGCGTCGAACGACACCATCGTAGGGCGTCTGGCCGTCTGCAATGATGTCTTCCCAGCTACGTTTCGGAAGGGTAGATGGTGCGAGTGCCAGGGTGACCTTGCCGGATTTGCTCTGCTTGTCTGTGATGTAAACCGTGAGCTCACTTCCGCACTTCAAGTCCGTCTGCTCTTCCTGTGCCTAACATCACAGGCAACTGGGGCTGAGATTGGCTTCACTTCATTCTGCATCCTCAAGAGCATGCACTTTGACCTCATGTTCGCGACTTTTCGGTATCCTTCGAAACCATACCGATTCAAATCAGGGAGGACCAAAATTGGCCTCGATCACCGCCATCGGAAGCATCGCAGGTCGCTCGAAGCCTCAGACTGAACCAACATGTACACCTGCCGAAGATCTGCGAACAAACAAGGTGCTTCCCATCCCTTTGGTCAACATCCCTTTCATTGCGGGTGACACTTCGCACTGGCCAGAGTGGATCTCAAAATATTACCGGACAAAACCTCAACTTACCTGCGCCTGTCCTACAGACACTGCAGATGGAAATTGAGTAGGCGGCCCATGTCTATGAAGGCCCCACGGCCCTCCAGAAAGCCGAGCACAGTGCCTCGATCAGCAAAGCAAGATTCCGGCATGCCAACTATTGCGGCGCTCATGGTGGCCAAATTTCAGAACTGCGGCTGTGGACGACGATGTGTTTCTCCCAAAGCTAGCATGTTGCAGCCCTCTTCCGGTAAGCTCCGTGCCTTTGTGCGGAGTGCGCCCGTCTCCGGGGATCTGACAAGACTTTTTCTGCCAACATACAAGAGTATCGGACCGGACACTAATGGAAAATCTCCCTTCAGTGCAAGACCGAAGACGTGACCCCTCGGGGCCCCCCACAAATAGATTTCTTTCTATCTTCACCAGACGGTAGTGGCGAATGACAAATATTTCATGTGCTAAGATTCGTCATTGCTTCCGATGGTTTGCGATCCGGTCTTCCAAGGGATCCTGTCCAGTGGGGTTCGAACAGGAGCAGGCTCCTTGGAGCTATGCACCAGAATGTTCCTAGAGTTGACGTGCAGTACGAGATGTGACGTCGTTGGCGGCTTCGTGAACATTTCGATCTTCCCTTGAACGGTCCGAAAACACAACTCTGAAGTGCCTCGCCTCTATCCATCGGCGCAAAGCCTGACTTCCTTGGTCTCAGCATTCGGAGACTGATTTGGATGCACAGCAGTGACCGTCTGGCTTACTTATGCTTACCCGAACTTACATCGACATGCTTCCAGCAAAGCATCTGGGGATTGTGGCCAGGTCGAGTTTTGCTGACTCTGGACGCTTGCTGACAACATAGACCGTGATGGCATCACCGACCTGCGACAGGAGTGAAGCCGGCTGTCATGTTTGAAGTTCCAGTCATGAAGTAGTGTTTGGGGTTGGTCATTGTTGTCCTCCAAAGGCCAGTCACCAAAACCAACATGCATTGCAACCTCTCTCTCCCGAAACCCGTTCCTGTCCTTGCAAGGCAAAGCCTTAGGCAGCTGCTCGTTGGGAAGCAAGCCTGGCTGCCACCGGATTCGCGGCAAAACCAGCACTTGCTCAGTCAGACGAGTGCGGCCTGTTGGTCACGAGTATGTATTGGCCTGCGGCCTTCACCTGGAATTCATCACCACTGCTCAGTGCTTGCCTGCGACCTCTGTCCCCAGGTCCACGAAGACACCGAAGGGGGCGAGTCGCTGCACGACACCTGCACATCCGAAGCATCTTCTTTGGTTGAACTGCTGGGAACCTCAGCGCTCTCTTAAAAGGGCATTGATGCTGGATGAGCATCGCGGCCTGTCTGCGAGACGGGTGCGACTTGCTTTACGTGCATTTTTCAAATCATGAGGGTAGACCCGGCTAGCTGCCCAAACCTCCCAGAGAGGCAGTGCAACGCAAGATCCTCGAATTTTGATTGCGACACTTCCTCTCTAATCACTGATGCCTGTGGTAGTAGCTCTGGCTATTACAAAGCTGTTCGGGAATTTTGATTGCACACTTCCTTTTTCATCACTGATGGCTGTGGTAGTAGCTCTGGTTACGACAACAGCCTGTGGCAGTCATAGTCGAACGGTAAAGATACACTCGCACGTAGTTATTTAATACTCCCCGCACCCGGTCCTTCATATGGCCTCTGCCCGTCGGCAATGACTTTCTTCCACCTCTCTCTCGGGACTTCTCGGCGATGCAGGCTCAGTAAGAGCTTCTTGTTCTCCTCAAGCATGAGAGCTTAACAAGTCAAACTGAGCCAAAGGTCAGGCTAGTCATATACTTCATCGAGATCGGGCTTCAAAAGCTAAGGGCTACTTCGCCTGTAGTTTCGCCCAGATCCGTCTGGTCTGGACCCGCGGCCGTGGGGAATGCCCGCTCTATGCGTTCGTGTGCGTGTTGCTTGTCGACTGCTGCGGCAAATCCTTCCCATTATGTATGCATGTATGGCTATATATATATATATTAATATGAATATACACAGACACATTAGACACAGTTTCTTACTGCTGTGCGACACCTTTATGAAACTCATCCAAGACACCGGGTACTTGCAGCATGCATAGCAGGTCACCCTATCGCCAGGCGAAAGTTGATCGAGCTCACCAGCATTGCTTGCAAAATAACCATCGGCTGGCAGCATACCAGGCACCTCGCAGCCCACGTCAACAAGAAGCGCTCCCGACTGCAAGCGGTCGACGACGATGCCCTCATGCGGAGTCCATTGGTCAACAACAAAAGTTGCAAGAGGAGCAGGGCCGTTTCTGATGACCTTGGGTGGCCGCGCATGTGGAATCTTCACACCATCAGCTGGAGATGCCAGCGACACCTGACGTCGCTCAACCTGGTGAGCGTGCAGCAGTCTTCGTTGCTTGGTACGAGCACTTCCCAAGGAGGGACGACACCGCAAAGGCGCTCGTAGCATGCCATGAAGTCGCAAAGGCATCATCACGCCGTCCCGTTCATGACTTGTGCGTATGTTTTGCTCACACACTCTCTGTCGATCCTCCTTTTCTTCTCAATTCTCCTCCTCCGTCTCTGTCTCTCTCCCAGTCTCTCTTCTTCTACACAGCCGAAGGGAAGCAGGACGACCCCCGCTCCCCCTGCGCGCGCACGCGCACTGGTCTCCCAGTCTCTCTCTCTCTCTCTCTCTTCCCTCTATCTCGCGCTCTCTCTCTCTCTCTCTCTCTCACTCTCACTCTCTCGCTCTCTCTCCCTCCCTCCCCTGCGCTCTCCCTCTCTCTGGCTTTGTCACATCTTCGACATGCTTGAGCACGCAACGGCCATGTTTTCTACTATGGTTCCAGCACAGCTAGCGCCGCATGCCAAGGAATCTTCCAGAAGGCCTTCTTTTCATAGCTGTTGTGGTGCTGTGCCAACAGTGTTTGTCAGAGCGGCTCCAGTCGAGCCGAACGTTGCAGAAGCCGGCCATTGCCCGGGAAAAAACAGCAGCAAGAGTACCACTGTCTTCTGCCGCTGCTTGGAAGCGGGAGAGGTGGGAAAGCTTCGGGCTCCGCAGTCGCATGTAACCTTAAGAAGACACCATGCCAAGCAAAACAGAAGGCAGAAGCATGTATTTGGATGGTATTGATGTACTTGGCAAGCCGCAGCTCCAGAGGTATCGTGCAGGGATGTGCACAAGTACACCGCTCATCCAATTGCTGCGAGCTACAAAGCAGCCAGAAAATTGGTCTCGAGCACTAGGAACCACTGGAGGTATTCCAGCCAATCGCTAGCGTGCGCAGCTGGCCGAGTCAGTGGGAGGGCTCCCTGTAGGAGACTTCCACGGCTGTACAGCCTTCACCAGTCTTGCATAGTATGCCGCCCTGATCCACTTGTGACAGCTGAAACCTGCGAGCTGCAACAACCAGCATCTTCAATGCTCGAAATGCCAGTACAGGAAAGAGCTGATGTCGTCACGGCAGCATTGCCGTGCGAAGGATTGGTAAACAATCTCATGCAGGTCCGTCAAAAATGGCTTGTGCAAACCTCACATTCGAGGAGGCACTAGCACGCACGAATTCACCCGCTCTTAGGTGCCAAGAATGCGGGAGGCATCGGCCCCGACGACCCGTCCCCATTCCGAAGCGAAACGCATTGGGAGGTTGACAGAGAGGCTGATCTCATTCACGGGCGCTTCGCATCAGGCGGAAACCTCGGTTCACGTCGAAGTTTGTTGCTTTGGGCTAGAAAACCTCCAAGCAAATGCAGACATGCCTGGGCGACACAATGTGCTACACAGTGCCGCAGCCTGGGTACTGTGACCTCCTCCTGACGCTCTCCAGGCTTCTGCTGGCTTTGCTTCAGCTTCTGGGCCGTTGAGGAGCATCTCCTCGGCACGGCATCAGCAGGTTACGGAAACTTCCTAGGTCCTAATCCTTTTTCTCAGACGTGAGAATCTGCTCAACTGAATGATGTGGCCAGGCCAGGCACTGAGAGCCGGCCAGGGGCGGTGGCGCGGCCGGCAGCGCGATCTCAGGGGTGGCGGTCTGCGGGTCTCTCTGCACGTCCGCTTGGGCGGCCTCGGCATGAGCGAGCATCAGCCGTGGCAGTAGCCATATACACACACGCAAGCTTCCTCACTATTGGTCATGTACACCCTGCGTAGCTCTGACCAGCGCTTGCTCTGGTGGACAGAACCTCGTGCCTGACGAATTGCAAGCGCGGCCGCTTCATTGGGCTCCAAGCCTGTTATGCTCACCGATATTTTGCGAGTAGAAGCTGCGCCAGGATAACAAATCTGGAAGACAGCCTGGTTGTCCACGACACACGGCTATTGACTTCTCACAAATGAGACGCAGGGCGATCCTCTGAAAGAAAGGCCGCTCGCATCTTGCGGAAGCGCCGTAGCAAATTGGACGATAAGCTATGCTATGCTATGCTACTGCGGCCTTCTCTCAAAAGCGCGAAGTACATTTTCTGCACATAGGCTTTCCTTGGCATCACGACTGACAACCCGGCCATCTGACCCCATCCCCTTACAAAATATCAGCTAGAGGCCAGAGCTATCAGTGTCTTCTGAACGGGGACACAAATGCGATCTTTGTATTTAGAGTTCATTCTATAGCACGGTCTCGCTGCCATCCGTCTTTTTGTCACAGGTCCTGGGACATAGACAATAGGCCCAACTGTCATCAAGAAGGGATTGGAGCGGTTCACTTGCAATTTTCAGTTTGAAGGTCAAGACCAGCAATCACGCCTTCATCGCTGAAACTTGTAGCAGCGAAGCCACAAATCCACTCTGCGCTGCGAATTCCTGGAAGGCTCCTCGGCCCCCGCCTGACAAGCTGCCATACTGTAGGTACGCAGACGAGCACAGATGTTGACGCAGGAACGTTCTATGGCATCGCAGCAATGACCAGATCATGAGGACACTCACCGACGTGATACATCTGCAAAGTATACTTCCCTAACTCTAACTCACTGCCGTCTCCAGATTTCCATTGCGGCGACTGCCTGCAGAAAACACCTCCGCTCTGTCGAGCATTTCCTGCTTAAAACATGATAAGTCATATCAGAGGTTTAGTAAAGCCAGGAAACTAAGGAATGATCACACTTGTGCTGCTGTTACCAGTACGAGCAGGTGAGGCTTCACTGCTTTACGGCCTGCGTCGTTTCCTTGTCTGCCGCTTGCGGCAAGCTTGTCGATGGTGAACCTGGCAAGCGTGCACGCAATTGTTCGACACAGTTCGACGGAAAATGCCATGACTGCCAAACCAAGGCAAGCAACTGCTTTCCAGTAGCTGGGTGCTACCTGGAGCCGTTTTGTTGCTCCAGGACTGCTCAAAAGCACGAACCTGCACCGCACCAGGACTCACAGGACTTGAAGAACGACACCATGACAATGTTCGTCAAGGATGTATCCAAGAGGACCAGTTGACATCTGTCGACATGACGCTGAGGTCTCGCAAGTTCGACATGTGCGGAATGATACGGAGACGCACCTTGTCTAGGCCCTCGGTAAAGGCTGGAACTTTGCTGGCCGGCACTTCGATCTCTCCTTAGCGTGACATGTTTTGAGCACTTCCGGCGCTCGCCGAAGCGCGACAAAGTTCTACTAGTACGTAGAGACGTAGTACGTGATTCTACCCGCCAGATATCCGGGCAGAGCCTGCTCCCTCGATTTTTTCATCTCCGCGCAACTCCGTTCCCAGACGCTTTTCTACTGCAATGCCACCTGGACTGCTCATGCAACGTGTCTCTCTAAATTAGGCTCATCCATGCACTTCCAACACGGGGATTGGCTCTCACTACTTGGTGGCACTCTTCTCCAGAAAGTTATAAACATCATGCACCTGTCCGTCTGTGCAAACACGAGCAAACAACCATCCCGGCAGAACTGATCCCAGCAAAGTGCGCGGGCAACAACTGGAGTCCTTGCGAATCGTCCGACGCACGAGACCCTCGTGTGTGCTGTCTAATTGCTTTCTACATCCTGCCATTGCAAGCTGGCTGCCGTATAATTGTGTGCTCGGCTTGCTTTCTTTTTAGTCTCTGATGCTGGTTGTCAAGCACGTCCCCTTGTAAATTCGGCAGCCGGCCTCCAGCAAATCAGTTCTTGCAATTTCCACAACCGATTCTGCAAGTGAGGGACGTCTCAAGTTCTGCAACCAACCAAAGACAACATATGATCATGTGCTTGTTGTTAGCAAATCAACCCTTGAAATTTCTAGCATCTCGATTCTTCAAGTGAGGAACGATTTTATTGGAACCAACCAATGACTTGAAGGGATCGTGTGTTGGTTGTGTTCGGTCGTTTGTCGGTTTCCGTGATTCACCACACATCGCGACTATCTTCTCCTCCCGCATGGCAGAGAACAAAGCTCACAAGCGACGTCGATCAAGGACATCAAAGGGAAGTAAGCAGGTGGTGCCGCATCGCGACTATTACCTACGACCGTTGAAGACGATCACCATCTCAAGATGTGTTTCGACTTGCTTTACACCCCAAAGCTTGCAGTCCAGAGCGCAGACCGTTGACACACGAGAATGTAATGTAGGCGCAGCGTTCCGGGCTTCCGCAGCAAGGGTGGGATCCACGTTTAATAGAACCTTCTCACACATGCATACCTATGCAAAACACACGTGCGTGCATGCATGCACATAACCCATGCATACTAGCTGCTGCCCCAGTGCTGAAAGCGGAGTGCATGTCCGCCCGGCTTGCTGCACCGTGTTGCCGTGGATGTTTGTCAAATTTTTGTAACCGTGCAGTTTCACACGGGTAACCTCTCGCAAGTACGTGAAATCTGCGTCCAGGTTCCTTTTTACAGCCAACGGATAAGTGTTTTCCATGGCACCCCACCTATCCATGGCTCCCGTGCCCCCGTGTATTCTCTGCATGAGTGAAGGCATGTACTGCTGCATGGATCTGATACCGTACATCTGCCGCGGCTGTTCGCTAGTGCTTGTTTACTGCGGGAGTAGCCCCGTGCGCCCCTGTCCGAGGGCGGCACACACACGGAAAATGTGCCGACAGACGGCCAGCTGATGCCTTGAATGATAAATACTATCATATCATCCCTGCGAGTCGGGACGCCTGACACGTACTGTGGCAGTCTTACAACAACTCGCTGGACGCCCACCATCTGTTCCCGAGTGTGCTTCGTCAGTCGTCGTCGTCATAGCCCGAAGACTTATAAGGACTCCTTCCCCCATCCTGATCTCAAGCCGTCAGCTTCGCTGGTGGACCAAGCTGTATGAGATGGGTCCACACCAAGAACCTAGTGACCGTAGCCTGGAATCAAGTCTCTCGCAGTTACATTGTGGTAGTTATATGAGTCATATTAACCTGTAGTTTAACCAACAGCTTCCAAGGAATGTGGCCTCGTCCATAGGGCGAGCAATCCCCGTTTCGCACGCCATGCCAAAGCACGCAGATTTACCGGAACAAAACAGCGTCACCAACCCTACTAGCCTGACCAACTAAAACCATTGTTGCAAGCCAGG